GCGAAAAAGCGGAGAAATCCGTCAAGAAAACGCAAAACGGGACCCCCTTTTGCCGTGGTTTTCACTCATGAACAGGTAACAGCTCAGAAAGCGGACGTATGAACGAGTTCATCGCAACGCGTTTGGTGGCACCATGCCAAACCACGCTTTAATCGAGATGCTCCAGTTGTGCCGCTGCTGGCAACGCAGCTCGTCCAAATCACCAAGTAAACTAGTGGGCGGATCGCTTTTGGGGGCGGAGCGCTTTCGAAGTCCTGCTCAGCAACCAGCGCACCTTTCGTCGTGAAAGCGCTACACCTCGCTTCCCTGGCAGCCAAGTAACTGATTCGTGTGGTGCATATGCTTCCCGATGCGCTCCCACTTTATCGTAATCGCTGCCTTTAAAGAATTCAGCTATTTTCTGGATTTCGACCAATCTGGTGTTGTAATCTAAGGCGATGGCGTCGCACTGGAAAGATCCCCAGATGTTAGTACTCTTCAGCGATCGAGCCCGGAAATACAGATCGCTCAAATCGTTGGCTAAAGGAAATCTCGTTCATGCACTTGCCAGAATCCCTCACGAAATCTGCAGCATATCTGGATCTTCCATGGATCTGTAGGCAAAGACCAATTGTGGTATTTCGCCATTCTTGGAGCCACGGGCCAGGGTCTGATCCCAGAAGAGGGCCCCTCCTAGAGAAAGAAAGAAGGGCCCAGGAGCCGCGATACTGCCGCGACTCAAAAGTGCGCGGCAAGGCAAAGCCTTGTCTTTTGCTGTCGGCGCTGCCACTCTATCAATCGCCGCATAGCGCTCTTGGCGTTTGCGCTCTCTCGCGTACGACGTACTCTCTCGCGTTTTCCCTCTCCTCGCAGCGCTGTGTCTCTCCGTCATACCACGGCCGACCTCACAAGGGAAATTTCAGTGTTTTCTATGGTGCTTTTTGCTTTTTCTCTCCATTAATGTTCCTATCGCAATTTTTATCTTCTATTTTATTATTTTTTCTGTTTTGTTTCAATTTTCTAGCAAATGTGGAGAAAGGGTTTATCAGATGAAGATCGTTCGAGCGTGGTATCAATTTTCACCCACTCCACTTATTCTTGTGGCTGTGAGGTTGAACACTTCGAAGGTTGAGGTAATTCTAAAAAGGAATTCAGGCTTCGCAGTATATATGCGTGCCCGATGGTTAACAATCAGCCTGAAGCGTTGACTGATGCGTTGTTGAATCTGCTTTTCCAGTTCGGACCCACCCAATACAGTGAAGTTGGACTCTTCGTATCGAGGTGTGGGTATGCCTTGGCTTATTTATATTAAAGAAATTACATAGAATTTGAAGCGGAGCGACTTTGATAACTGTAGCGAAAAATTGTGCGGATTGGTGTAAAACGATTAGGTGCATTTCGACTAGTTTTAGTAGCTGAGCGAGTGGACAATCTGTCTTATTTCAGGTTCCATCGTGGAAAAGGGGATCGCAGAAAAGTTTCCATCAACTAATCTGGTTTTCTACGCGGAGAATAAAAATAAGCAAGGTGTCATCGCGCCGAGGTTGGTCAATGTTGCTGTCTTAGTTCTGAAAATTTCATGCAAACCGTTTTTTCGACTGTAAGGGGGAGACAAAAGATTAAAGCACTAGGCTTTGTGGAATGCACAACAGGGTCCTCCAGCTCCGTTGAGAATCCTTTAGACGCGGTTGAATGTGATTCTAACATGCAATGACAGTACGGTTGCTAGACCGATAAATGCTGTTTATACCGCTTCACTGGTAATTGGTGTCAGTATTGAACGACCGAAGTATTAGTCATGATTGGTGTAACGACATGGATTTGATGCCGGGAACAAATGCCGGGAAGAGAGTAAGTTCGCTTGCTATGGTCAAGCCACACACCTCCGCCATTCAGCAGTATAAACTTCTTGGTTGTGCCTTTTCTGAGCATCTTCCAAGTATAATTCAGGCACATGGGCTCGATTGGGAAGAACAAGTCTTTCCATTTTAGCACTGGTTCGCCCGGTGAATCATAACATTGCGGTCCAGGCCTAACAAGGAAAGGCTCTCCAGGTCGCCATGGCCATTCAAGAAGAGATGTATACCGCTAGATGTGCCTTTGAACGCTGATCTCAAATCTACCTTCCAAATCTGCTAAACGATTCTCTGAAGGGAGTTATGAAGCAAAACAGCGCAACGGTAGTGGTCGGGATTTGCAGTCAAAACGTCGTAGGATCGGCCCCTGATCGCGTTACTGTATTGCCTTTCTTCAGAAATTTTACGGGCTAAAACTATTTAATAGTTATTTAGCCTTCGAAGTCTTTGACTGCACACCGATGACTACGTTTATGCGTGATTTATGCTTATAATCCTTCAGAGAATCTGTTTAGCGAGATATGGAAGAGTATGTATTTGAGTCAGGTTCTAAGGCCCATCTGGCCATACACACGGTCTATCTTGAAGTGGCCATGACGACCTGAGGCTTTCCTTGTCGGTATTAAGATATTCGGAACGCGGGGGAAAGAGGGGGGGTGGGTCAGTGGCTGGGTGAACCACTTTGGCAGCTCACCATATGGCAGAAGGGTTTTTTTTTCAGAGATTAAGGAGTGTAATGATCGACAAGTACTAAAAATCAAATATTGTGATGCATTTGTTTATTCATGTAACGGTTGAGTAGATTTGCAGCAGAGGTTCATCATTTTCATTCACGATTTCAGACGAGAAGAATCTATGATCCGTGAACGTACATTTGCATGGCTAATGGAAAATGGAAAGCAGAATTGGTCCAAGCATTTAAGCGAAATCAAGTATATGCATAACTCGGAATGGATAGAGGAACTAGGTACGTTTTAGCTATTGTCGATCTTAACATTTAAATAGCGGTTTAACATTTAAATAGCCGATCGCCAAGTTCGGACCGCTATTCGTTACAGAAAGGTTTTCTGGGAAGAGTCGTCAGTTATAAGAATCGTCCATGGAAACATTCTATCTCACCCATCAATCCCTGGATTGCTCATCATTCACGATAAGAATGAAAAGAACAAAAAACCGTGTTTGTTTTGTAAACAATTCGAAAAACCAAAGGAGGATTGTTACGCGTTCAAATTCCCGCCGTACATCTGTCACAAATGCTGGCGACGGGAACGATTCCACTTGGTTCTCGGAGTGCCTTCACTAGAACTTTTTGGCCTTTTCACCTATGGCAATAACATTTCCGTTTTCTACTGCATCCCCTCTTCCGATTGCATTGTCTCTATTTTCCCAATTAAAACGCTTCAACCCGATTATTCCATTTCTTTCCATGCGTTCCCTTGTCTCCGCCCGATCTACCCGCGACCGTCCCCAGAGTGTGGTTTTCCTAGGTTTGTTTTTCTTCGCAAACTGAATTTCTTTGCGAATGAAACGTGAAACTTGGTACATTGTCTCTAGAGATCATAACTGACGTATTTATGATGGGGAAGGACGCAAGAATTTTCCTTCTTTGAAGGTCAAAACTAGACGGAACTTACGGAGAAAGCTCTCGTTAGACGGGTTTAATACAGTATGTAGCACAGTAAATTCACTGGTAAATCGGGAACTTCCTAATATTTCGAATAAAGCTCCTTGAAGGGTTCAAATATTCCTATATCATCGTAGTCGATGAAAAGACGGGAAATTTTGCTTACGTCAGAAATTAGCTCTGGAGGAATCTCTAGATTTCTTTATTGTCATCTGTGCACCTTTCTCTTGGTCCAGGTCCACTTCGAGAAGTATATGACGGGAATCAGCCATGACTTGTTTTCGCTTTATTCAAGTGTCTTAAACTGTTCAGGTAGCACGCCTTTGGATTTATTCTTTGGTCGGTCACGTCACATTGAAAAGTCTCGAAAGAGGAAAGCAGAGGGCGCCCTTCAGGACGATGATACACTCAGCGATAGCCTGACGAATAACTCTAACGGTATGTATCGACTGCTAGCCAAAATTGTCCCATTCTGTACCTGGGAATTAGCTGATTGGTTTTGATTCTAAATTTAATAGTTTAATCACATATTGTCAGATGTAAAGGACCAGCCATCAACAATATACGCAACGGATGTAATGGAGCAGAAGAAGAACGGGTGTCCGGCGATGAAATCTCCGAAATGTGAACAATGATCTAGGCCTTTTGTTGTGGTTGTTGTTGCTAACATGTCATCCTTTTTCCGTATTTTTCCACACAATAGATCCTTTTTCCACATTTTCCATCCTTTTTCCGTATTTTTCCACACATAGATATAATCTCATTGAAAGTCTGAAAAGCAGGGGTACCCGACAGGAAGCCTGTCGCGCGGCGAGAAGACGGACGCAGACGGTTCAGCGGACGTGCCGCAGCGCGTACTGGTAGAACGTATACAGTGTTTAATTTGATGCTAGATCTCACGGTACGTGCTGCAACTCGTCCGCTAACCTATATGCGTCTCTATTTCTCGCCCGCGAGGTGCCTCCAGTCGGGCACCGAAAACTGAATCTAAGTTCACATTAAGGAGTCATGTGAAAAATAAAGATGAAGTGTCGGCGATAAGTCTCCTGGAAGAGTCACACAGCTTTCAATTGGAGCTGTGTAGTAGCTGAAAAGGAATGTGAGAACGTCAAGCGTTGCATTCGACCGATTCCATGATTTTTACGATCCCTTATTTTGGGGTATCCACATGACCTTCAACACCACCATCTGTAGGGGTCCCTTTATGGACCCCTGTCCCCCACCACCATACCTCCACTACCATGAAAATTTCCGTAGTGTCCGATTCTAGTGCTAGGTGACACATTTCAACCCCATTTTCTACAAAACTGCCGTTGAACATGGTAACGGGTTATATACAAAGTGTTACGAGGTTGTGGGCGCTCAAGCATAGCAGTGTTCTGCGACAGGGTGAAAATCGCTTGAGGAAACGACAACGGCTCGTCGAGGATTTCTTTCACGCTCTCCCACGCGGATGCTCACTCTCGCCACCCGCGAGCCGTCTGTGCTCTCCGCGCATGCATTCACTCTCGACACTACTCTCGCACAGTAGAGAGCCATGGTCGAGGAAATCCTCGACCGTTATTCACCCTATTCTGCGAGCTTCCATGTGAGAAATGTTAACTAAATCTATCATTAGTTTACTTTCACCATGTTCGGCAGGGCTTCGGTTAGTACAGTTGAAAAGCCAGCCCACACTTCTATTTTTCCGTTTGCTCTTTTGACAGGTAGGATTGATGCAGCAATTTGGTACGGCTCACTGACGTGACTATACCCATTCCTTTCGGGCTGTTGAGTTCCACCTCGATAGATTCTATGGCAGCGTAGGCAACGGGACGCTGCAACGGAAGACGAGGCGAATTGGGTGAAATTCCAAGGTCGGCATTCACTTTCTTACAGAGCCCAGGAGCTTCACCGAATATTTCGGGATAAATTTTCTTGGCACTATTCCACTATTACTGCCCCAAAATCTCAAAATTTTATTTTTCGTCGAAACTTTGCCTATAGGGGTAATTCGATGCCCTGATTACGAATAATGACATTCATTTTTGATGCTGGCGCCATTTGGCGCCACCTTGTCACGACGGCTGTTTTCACCAAATTCGCTGTAAACTTGTACATAGGGGTTATTTGGTGTCCTGATTACGAATATGACATTTATTTTTGACGCTTGCGCCATTTGGCGCCCATTTTCTGCTCGTCTGCGCCCTCGCACTGGGTTGATCACTATCAGGACTAAGCCCTTGGGGAAAAGGGCTCAGAGGTGAGTGAGCCACTCACCCTGATATCACACACTTCAACTTTTGTCACATGCTGCGTGGTTTACCCACCTCGGAGTCCTCCTTCTCCAATAAGCTTAGTCTCAAGCACAATGTATCAAGTGAGGGAGCCCAGGTGATCATTCACGACCAGATGTACCTCCGTGCGGCGTTAACACTTGCAGAAACATTAAAAATTTTTGTAAACCAAACCGTCTCCTGGATTGGTACTGTCTTGCCTCTTTTTGTCGTTGTGGGAATAATTTCTCCTTGAAGTCTTGGTTCGCTTAGCTGCTTTTTCTGACTCATAACTTGGCAGAATTCCCCACGACGGCCGCTTGCCTTGCGCTTGTTGCAGAATTACGTTTTTTCACATCTTGTTGCGTAGCGTTTCTTTTCACAGTTACCAATCAATGAATTTCCGATTTCGTTTCAAAGTGGTCTCAACGAGCTTCATATATTTCTTGCGATAGTCTGTCGATTACTGCAACGAGTCGTTGCCTAGTAGATTCTGCTTCTGCCTGTTTTCGCCACTTCTGACCGATTAGCCAGATGATAGGCACTAGATACCGTCCAAATTCCGATCATGAGTTTTTACTTTCTCACAAAATTGTTGAGTCTGTCTGCGTGTGCAAGGTAATTCTTGTTATTACTCTCATCAAGCTTCAGACACTGTTATTTAGAAGTGAAATCGGACGCTCTGAAATCGAACAAGTGCTTCGGATTGTCTTAAGTTCTTAACAACCGATGTCTTACACGTTCCTTGGCAGTGCATGTTGCTGTCACTTCTCAAAGGTGACTTCATCAAGCTTTTTATAGAGAATTCTTACCTTCGCCCATTAAAAGGTTGTCGTGCATCTTCAAGCACTTCCTTCTACCTTGAGTACCATCTGAAGAATCCCATCTCTAAGGGGGTAGCACAGGAGCATCTGAAAAAATGCTTGATGCTGCTTCCTTTGCTTTTCAAGTACCCTCGATCACTTGATTTTGTAGTACCCATGTAGTTGTAGGCAGTTGGCATTGTCTGCTCCTGATATTCGATGAAGGTTTTCTTTTAACAATGATTTCTTTTGTATGGTAACAGATACACTAAATGCAATGATCTTTGATCTGATTCTCATGATTGCAATGATCTTTGATTTGACTCTCATGATTGATTTTCTTTTGTGTATGTTACGCATATGCCTGATACCCAGTGCTACGCAGGCGGGAAGGAGGGCGCGGGAAATAAAGCGCGCCAAAACATGGATGCCGGGGAGAGACGGTTTCGTGAGGGGAGTTCAACAAGGACAAGGACGTGCGACGCCTGCATTACTCGACTCCCGCTAACCACCCTCCTGCCTGCTACTCGGTAGTAAGTGAAGTAACCACCGTTTTATCTAGGAAACCTTTTTTGTCTTTTGCTGCCGTGACTGGCAGAGTTTATGATCTAAGTGCTATTTCTGCATTTTTTTATTTGGCTGTAAATAAAAGGTTGATTTTTTTTGTACCCTAAGGCTCCACAACGGTGAAACCGTGCAATATCTACCTCTATCTTTATCAACTAAAACCAATTTGGGGGCCAAGCGCCGTTGTGGAGTGCAGGGTCTTGAAAAAGTCAGCTTTTTTCTCTCGCACAGTGTTCGTGTTAGCGCCCCTTGGATCCTCCTTGAGTGGTTGCTAACTGTTTGCGCGCTGTTAGTGAGTAAGTGGTTTTCCGAAAGGAAAATCCAACTCCCTGAATCAGTGTGGTGTCGAGTTTCTTTTTTTTTTGAAGAAATTGGTAGCAGACACCCAATTTCCTTAGGGTAAACTCTGCTCAAATTTTTTTTGGAAGGAACGGGTGTGCTGGGCTATCGATTTTGGAAAAAGTGGGAGAAACTTGACATCACATTGGACTGACCGCCCCGCAGATGGCTGCGTCGGTCGCGTCGGGAGACGCTGAAGGAACAGGCAACGTGCCTGTTGCAGGAGGCGTAGTCGCCCAGCAAAGCATGTGGGCAGGCGATGTTGAAATGGCTGCGGATCAGCGCAACGATGAAGTCGAACAGCTCAAGGTATGTGAGCAAGTTCTTGAGAAGATAAAAGAGATGGCGATTTTGGTGATAGCGGAGGTAAGCAAGCACTGGCGCACGAATGACCCAAAACGTGAAAGGTTTAAGGGGGTTACCAGGGCAGCGGTGGAGGTAGCTGAGAAGCAGTTGGCCAAGCTCAAAGAAGCCTGTGCGAAGAGCGCCAAAGAACAGCGAGGTTTTAGGCTGCTCATGAGCTCGCTAGAGTGCGATACTCAATACGATTTTGTTCAAGCAGTGGAAAGCTTGATAGAAAAAGCTGCGGTAATAGACGAAATCTTGAGGCGCACCGAATGGCGGCAGGAAGAGGTAGTAGAATAGCTGCGTTGAGCTGAAAAAGAAAATGACACAGTTAGCTCGTAAAGGAGAACGAAATTTTGTCATTGCAGAAGCAGCTCGAAGAAAAAACAAAGGAAATCGAAGTGCTCAAGAAGTCTTGAGAAAAGAAGGCGGCAGTGAAGCCATACCAGGTGAGCAGCGTGTGGACAAGGTAGAGCATAGGTTGGAAGCTCTACGAAAGTTGAAACGTGAGATGAATCCTGAAATGGATTTGTTGCAGAGTGGGCGAAGAAGGGCCGCGAAGAATCCAGTCTTTGGATGTCGGAGTCGGATCAATCCTCAGGGAGGACGCGGAGAGCCCACGGTGAGTCTCGTGTCATATCGAGTGAAAGTGAGTGGAGCGGTAGCGAAAGTTGCTCCGAGTTGAGTGCAAGCCGCTGTAGGGGTGATCCAACGCGTGCACCTAACCATCTGGACAGTTACCTGAAGCACATTGCCTTGCCAGATGTAAGAGTTTATGTAGGTACTGATAAGGATTACCCGTGGGAAAGCTTTGTGGAGTCCTTTTCCCTGAAGTACCCGAGACATAGCTGGTCGGATAAGGAGCTTAAGGCCTTGCTCAAGTCCAAGCTAGGTGGGAAAGCTAAAGCTCAGTATGAAGCGCTGCCACGTGAGGTCAGGCATGGTTCGGTTGAAGGGATCATGGAAGCGTTGGCTAGACTGAACAGAGAGGAAACCCAAACAAAAAAGGGTGATTGCGCTGGGGAAGCTAAGGCGACTGAGGAAGCTCGAAACACAGACGGTCGCGGAGTACTTGTGTGGAGCTTGAAAGATTGTCGGTTAAGGCATATCCAGAGCTGGATGAAGGGGCCTTGGCGACGATTAGGGCGCAGCAGTTGTACGATCGGGTAGTCCATTGGGCGGAGTCGTACTATTTCATGTCTTAAGGAAACAAATCAGTAGCAACATCTCGCTCAATATTCAATACGATACATCCTTACTTTATACGCCACTTTGGACGATAGTGCAGGTATTAAAGATAAGATGTCAAATGTGAGTATAAGTATTCTATTAATTATACTGGGAAACGCACAAAACACAACATACCAATAAGAAATTTTAAGATATCTGGTTTCGACTTAGAAAATGTCGACCAAGTAGCCCGTGCTTTGAAGCAACAAGAAAACATCAACAACATCATCATTTATCCAAACACATACGAATCCTTTTATACCAAATCCTGAAAAGTTGAACTGTACGGAGTTAGCTAAAATGGTACTGCGTGACATACTGAGGTAATAGTTCTGTATCTCAAATAAAGTAACTTAAAATAATTATGTAGTGATTACTAGTGAACAAATCTAGGTATGAAAATGTAGCTGGTATCCACGCGTTGGCTTGGATAAAGGGCGCAGGCACTAATAAGGACGGCACTGTTAATATTCGTGTACGTGACATTCACGACATTTATATAAGTTATACATTTTAAAAAACATAATAACTTCAGGCTGAGATGACTTTAGGCCGTTCGTGACAACATATTTAAGCTTGTGCAATTATTATTACAGGTTTTTCTATTTGTCGCTCGGACCACCAGGCTCTAGCGCAGTCTACAGCAAAAGCTCGACTCCGTGTTGGTTTAGTTGTTGCGTTTAGGATTCCATTGACTGCCGCAGAATCCACAGCTGAGCGGTTTGTTGAGACCATTCCTGATGATTTAAGGTCCCTCGCTAAGGGATCACGGGGAATCAGTGAAAATGCCAAGATATACGGGCTAATTGTCATCGGTTACTTGTCATCCGGCCCTGCGCCTCTTTCTGACTATATCCAGGAAATGCTCATGTTTGCCAATATGACGTGGCACAGGTTTCTGAACCTAGCTGTAATCAAATGGCGTTACACAAAGCTGTTTTTCAATGATGATATTCGAGATCAGCTTGTCCGAGATCAGCTTGTC